AACTGTTAGCTCTCCGGAACGATGTCCATCCGTTACTGGGGACTCAGCGGGCGTGCCACTGTTTTCCTTTTCTTGTCTTTTGTATTGCGGCACAATAGCTGAGGTGTTTTCCACCTCCAACTAACGTGTAATGATGATGATGATGCGGCAGTTAGGCTGCCGTTGATTATCCCCTGCGATGTCCCGACCATCAAGGAATTGTTTGAAGGGAAAGTCATTGTTATGTGTTGCGTAAAGGTAACGGCACTAGGCGGTACGCAGTACCGACGCTTCACTGACGCGCAACCACCACCGGTCGCACGTGTGCTAAAGATACTACGAGGGTCGCCAGGCCCCTACACAGGCTCGAACCCCCGCCCTCAGATTACAAGGCAGACTTGTGGTCCTTAAGGCTACGGACCGGCGTGGGTAGGATACTGTCAGATTACTCATGCCTAAACAGGAGAATGATTAGACATTCTGAACCCAAAGCCTGACCGCAAGACAGTACGTACTGGACTACAGAGTCCGTTTTATGAATTAAGAAGTTACCTGGACTTCGACCCCCAACCTTGAGGCCCGTCAGACAGTTTGTTTGGTCTCTAACCATTGACCAACTTGATATGAGTGGCTCTGAAAGGACAAGCGCACCACCCAGCATAGCCCAATCGATCGCTGAGGTAAGCAAACTTTACAGTCACGTTTTGGTTCAGTCTCCTCGCGATGAAGAAAATCCCAGGTACTGGACTACTGCTCACCCAGCTCTCGAGCTTGCGACTTTACTTTCTAAACTCCACTTATATTTCTTACTAACGATGTTAGAACGAGCTTTAGTAATTGGGTTGGAGGCCGAAATGGCAAGGCGTCTGCCCTAGATCGCTTATTGGAGTCTGAAAATGGGACCGATCGACCCTCGCAGTGTCTTTAGCTCTCACGTGACGGATGGTGGTTGCATTGCAGCGAAGCGTCGGTACGACGTACCGGAGTACTGTTGATTCCTTTGAAAATTCCTTCATACTTCCACTATTTCACCGCCACTATCCGTGATGCAAATCCGTAAAGTATTGAACTAGTTGGCTTGCTCCAACCTGTCACCCATAGCTACAGGCACAGGAGTGTTTAAACCTTGGAATAACGTTTCATACCTGTACTTAGGCGCCTCTGCTGCTCATGGGTTCAAAACGTTTGTTGTAAACGTGCAGAGGACTGGGCTGGCTCTCCAGAGTAACGACTTTCTTTGCAAGCCGCCATCAATAGAGGTGGCATGTAAGCCACTAAGGCGATTACTGATAATTAATGAGCAGTATGGGGATTTATTTGGTGTCTGAGTCTGCTCAGTGTGGTGGCTGTCTGCCTCAGTCTGGCTGCGTCGAACCTTCAACAAAATACCAAATAAATCTTTCTAATACTCACTGATTTCTGTGTTGGTTGTTTGATATCACCGGTGTGCCTGCGCTCGATGTGAATGTTGACAAGGTGTCTACCTCTCGAATACCTGCTGCCTTGATTAAGCGGGCTCCGGGAGACAATTGGTGGTTGCTTGGGGAGACGGGGTGCATCTTCTTGGTGACCGTGCTAGGCTCATAGGGTTGTTCCACCGTGTGTTGAGCGGGCTACGGCCCAGCCACCGCCTTGTGTACGTCTGGTACGCATGAATCCCTACATAGATAAACAAAAGTGCTACTGCTGTGCATGTTGGAGGATGTGGACCGACTGTTGACGAAACCTAACTCTTATATACATATCTCTCGATCTTATTCCTTCGGCTTTATACTGCATATGGGATGTGTGTATGGAGCTGTGGGTGGTGCGGCACAAGCTATCCATGGCCCCTCTGTAGACGCAGGCTTCCTGACAGCGGGCAACCGTGTTTCACACTACTGGAAATATCGAAGGTTGGCTAGAGTTTGCCATAAGTCCTCACTCTGCCTGAACTTCCCGTATAAATCTCGCTAATAATGTTTACCTATTTCGGACACAAGTTTCTTGATCAGACAGGGCTAAAGAGCACATCGATCAGCCGAATCGAAGCAACTTTTGATATCGAAGAACAGCTACGGTGGGTCACCGATATAAGTGGCAGTGCTCCAACAGTTTACCTTTTGTGAGGATGTGGTCTATGCAGCCTCGTTTTCGACGAAAGTTGCTTTTAGGGTATCCGGCTTTCACGGGCGCAAGTCCACTCGTGAAGGACGATGGAGGTAACTAGCTTAGATTCTAATGAGATCAAAAGGATTCCTGTCTACTTGCCGTATCTCGAGCTTGAGCATTATCTTAAAGCCTTTTACAATAAATTACCTACTTCAGTTGGTTGGAATATCCTTTTTTCCTACAGTTTCACTTAGATGGTGTAAATAATCCACAGTAGCAAATCTTCCAAACCTTAGGAATACTGGGGAAGATCATCCAGTCTTGCTGTTTTATGCAACGTCAGGAGTCCGACATCAAGTTTCACTTCTGAGCAAGAGTGTCGATCCAAAGGGATGGCCCAGGGAGCATGGTGGTCACTGCACGGCATCAAACCTGGACGGTTAAAATGTTTGTCTAACTGCTCTGCCTAGATTTGCCACATGAACCGATGCGTCGGTGCAGCGTACCGGCGTACTTCTGATATCCTTAATTTAGCCCTTTGCTACGTTTCCATGGCCATGGCATACGGCTTCTTCCGAGCAACCAAGCGACTGACTCAGACAACGCTGATGATATTGCCTTGCTTTATGACTATCTACAGGGCATGCAACTTATTATAAATCCCTTAGCGATCAAATCAACTAAGTGTAGCATGATTTTTGCCTCTCCACCGAAGTACGAAACCCTGCTCCAGGATTGGCGTCCATTTGCTCCAATGATAACTTTTGAGGGTACGGTGCTTGAACGAGAGGACAGCTTTGGCTATGTAATGAACTGAGTTATGCGGATAGAACCACTAGAAAGATTTCTCTTCACATTGCAAAACTCGATCGGTGTTCGCCAATACTTTGTCGTCTGGACCTTCCATTTTCAGTCAAGCTCGGTGTCTAGTGTACCGTGTTCGCGTGCCGCGACTGCAGGGGACGAGTTCTCGCTGATTCATGTGAATAACATTTATCAGATTTCGATTACAGGTGTTTACGAAAGTTATCTCGCGTGTCTTGGAAACACAGTGTTTGAAACGACAACTTGTGACACTGTCTATCCATGACGGGTGTGTCAGCTAAACTCCTTTCCATTCTGAAGTTTCTGTACCGTGATCCCCGAGGCCGTGTAAAGGTCTACGGGAAACTCCTAAGTTCCCCAAGACAAGTGGGGTTCACCAGAGTTGTCTTATGTCGCCTTTCCTCTTCAACTTTGTTATCGAAATGATCATGAATAGCTCGATTCCTCCAGACTTCTGGAGTGGAAGTTTTGCCAGGCGACCGACTGGCAAACCGAGTATGCGGACGACATGGTCCTCCTAGGGTCTGCTGCATTGGCTATACAAACACTACTGCACGAACTTGCGGGTAGCGCTGCACGCTTCGGCATGCACTTTACACCTCCAAAGTGCAAAGGGCTGTTGCAGGGCTGGGCCGAAACCTCCTGTTTTAGCTATTTCCGGACAGTCAATGGAAGTGATGTATCGGTTTAGCTGTGTCACCTCTGGTGATCAGATCGCTGAGGAAGTTCCTTCGTGTATCAGCAAGGTCCGTGTGGCTTTCCAGAGGCTCAACCACCAATGGAGACGGCGGGATATCAGCTTGTCAGTGAAAGGTAAGGTGGGTAACGCTGCGATAAGGCCTGTGTTACTGTATGGATCAGAGACTTGGCCAATCCGCGACGAAGACATTAAACGATTGGCCTTGTTTGACCACTGATGTTTGCGAAGTATTGCTCACGCTTGGCTAGAACACCGGGTGAACACTGGGTGGAAGTCTTCTGGTGCCTCTCTCGAGTGTTTGATAAATCTTAGTCGATTGCGTTTCCTAAGCCATGCTCTCCATCTCCCCCTTGTTCGGCTTCCTCGGCATGCGTTATACGCCGTGGTAGCACCAACTTGGGCTAAACTGCGAGGTGGCCACTCCATGATGTCGCATTGTGGGATAAAGAAACTGACTGAGATACTTGATCGGACTGGTGCGTGCCGTCTTCTTGGATATAGGCCTCGTGACGGTTCACACCGATGGTTAGAGACCCTGTCAGACACGGCGCAGTCACGAAGTCAGTGACGTTCTTACATTCGGCTTCCTTCATCTGATTGTTAATTTTTGTTGCATTCTGTTTAGCCTAACACATTCCCCTCTTGCTTTCATTTTATTTACATTCTATTTTCATCCAACCCCACTATCCTACCGGTGTTATTTATTGTTATTCTTACGGTGTGAGTCGTAGCAACTGGATACACTTGACTTCGGTGCTCGGATCATAGTTTATTAGCTGAAACGACTGATACATTTTAGGTAGTCCGGTCTTCCTCTCAACAGACTCGTATCGCTGCACCGTTTGAGATAATTTGACATGCCGTGCGAACGATTTACATGTCGTGCTTTATTCACTCACACGGTACCGCATTGGGAGAAGTCGCGCAGTGGTCAGCCTACCGCATGATAACAAAGCATTTAGCTATCGTCGGTGTCGTAAAAATAGGCAACAACAGTACGCCAGTACACGCTTCGCTGCCACGCAACGACCACCAGCATACTGCGAGGGTTGTCCGGTCCCCTACGCAGGCTGGTACCGGTGACCTCTGGAGTACAAGGCAAGCATGTGACCCTTTCGACCACCGGTCAGTCGGCGTCGTGCATCTTTTGGACTGGCTCGAAACACTAGAAGGCAAGGCGCGAAATCGGGATCAGTAGAAGGTCTGTGTGAACTGATGTCCAGCTTTAACTTTCGATCATCAGCACCATTAAAATCGACAAAAAAATTACCAAACGCGTTGTGGAAACCGGAGATAGTTTTGCTCATATGTTATTTCCTGTAAACACTACGCATGCTAAATACTTTGGTGTCTCGTTTTCTTAACAATGATCACTGGCTTCACACCTCATCTCCACAACGTTTAGGTGAAAACAAAAATTGGAGGAGTACTCTTTTTATACAAAAGGTGAGAAACCCATTGTTTCTTACGTTTTAGATCCAAGTTGCCCTTTCATTCTTTTATGATTTTGAATCGAAAGAGTCCCAACGTTAACCAGATGGAATTTATCAACTCGTCCTTGCAAATCCAGTTGCATTCCCCATTCATGCTGTACAAAACGAGCACTGGTAATGAACTAAAATGTCCGTTTATTTTACTCTTAGGTATATTTTCATTGTGGTTTTTCTCACCGGAGGATTGCTTACGCATCTCTGAACGCATTGGCCAGTAAGTGAAACTCCGTTTTCTTTACATAATCATGCTCAGTTCCTTTATCTCACCACATTGACACTGTTCACCTTGTAATCAGAGAAACTATACATTGATTCAACTACAGTCCATGACTAAACATTGTCGGTCATACACTGAACACGTACACTTAAGTTGTACGTCTACGATGCGTTGATCATAACTAGTGAGAGCACCGGACAATTATTAATAGTGTCCACCAGCTTAAACCTGGCGTCAAACCTCGTCTTACATTGCAATGTTCCTTGATCTCGAATAACGTGTTATTGCTATCCCGTATTTTTCACATACTTCCTCAGCTTACCTTCTTCGTCCTTGGTGCGCCTGGTGGACTAAAACCACAGTAGTCAGTTGATGTTGTGAGGTGGTATGATGAAGCCATCCGAACAACTGCATCGGATTTATCACCCTCGTCATACATGCGGGCTTTGGAATTGTCAACATCCGGGGTTAGAAATCTCATGCGAAATGGATGAATTGGTATCAGCATTACTGGGCGCCTGATACTTATGCTTCTCTGTCATGCAATCGCTAGCGGTTGTGCGCATACTGGGTTGCTGCTAGCGTTCCAATATCCAGGTAGGTTAGATACCCGGGCCGCTACATGGTGGTCACCGTCTAGTTCAGAAGCGCATATTATTCAGTCTTCTACTTTGTATTAGTAATTGTTGCATCAAACGCTTCTGCTTATCTACTCCTTAGACCATCTTTTTCTGGTAAGACAAATTGATAGATTCCATCGCATTCTTCCTCGTGGACTCCATCATAGAGTGTTCCCTTACGGAGTCTCACAGTGCTGGCGTTGAGGTCCTACCTAGTAAAAAGTTAGTTGATCTTGCTTATGCGGACGATATCGTCTTGCTGTTTAACCATGGTGGAGTGTCACAATCAACCCTGAATAGCCTCTCTAGAGTGGTCTTATTAATTGGTATGCGCTCCGCACCTTCAAAGTGTTGCTGCAGGACCACCAGTCACTTGTTGACCCTTGATAACGAGGAACTCGAGGTAGTTGATACATTCACTTACCCTGGCAACTGCATCAGCAACGATGGATGCATAGAAACTGAAGTCAGTTCACATATTGCAAGGGCCATAACTGCCTTCTTGAATTTGCGACATCTTTGGTGACAGAAGGGAGTTTCCCTCCGTTCGAAAGGCCATGTTTACATGGCCACAGTGGAGGCCGTCCTACTCTATAGAAGTGAGGCTTGGCCTCCTCGGTCTGAGGATTTGAAACACCTTCAAGTCTTTCATCATCGCTGTCCGCGAAACGTTGCTGGTGTCGGGTAGCACCAGCGTGCCAGCAACGATGATGTGCGTAGGCGAGTACTAGACAGTGATAACCAAACTGGTTCCTTAGAACAGCAGCTAGCACCGACTAACTTGCGTTGGCTTTAGCACTTACTGCGTATGCCCGGTCACCGCTTACCGAGGAGGGCCTTGTCTAGTCTGCCAGGTGTAGAGTGGCGCAAGGCTCGAGCTGGTCAGAAGTTGACTTGGCAGCGGGAAATGAAGTCACTGACGACCCAAGTCGGTGCCGTCGGTCCGTCTCGCCTTCCAGTCTGGCGTCCACGTGACCCGCCTTGTGCTTAGCTCGAGATTTTCTAGGACATTGCTCACAGTCGGCACCAGTGACGCGTCTACTGCCGTCTCCTAGTCGGATTGCCTGTTTAAAGTGTGTTTGGTGCTGCGTTATCTGCGGGGTAATGGCTGATTATCACGCGGGGAAGTTAAAGCCGCAAGGAAGCTGTCTCGCCGATGCCGCTTTATCTTTGCACCATAGCCAGCTGTTTGTGACGGCAGGTTGTTGAATGGGTTTAGGCACCTTGGCTTAGAACATTGAGGTTTTCCGGTAAGTCTCCCTTCTCTCCCTCTTATTATTCTTCGTTCCATAGGTCTTTATCGATGTATGACAACGAGATATCAGACCAAATGGCTGATGTACTGCTCTTGATGATGATGGTCGCACCCTTCGAGGATTACGGCTGATCAACCGACTTGTCCGTGACTTCAACCAGTTGTGGTTGTTGCCTCTTCCGATTGACCATTTTATCCTGTTCAACTAAGCGATGGTGTACACCTCTCTACTGTTCGTTAAAAGCACACGATCGATGGCTCCTTCCAGGCTTTTTTAAGTCACACGAGGACAAACGGTACCGGTTTGGCATTGGCGCGTACGCCCTCACAAACAGAAACACTGACTCGCTGTAAGCTGATTTATACCACTAACTTAACGAGCTCCTTCAGTACAGAAAATATACGGATACTGTGTTGCTTGCTTGTGATCTGAACGCCAAAGTCTGAAAATTGTCCTCTAATGCGCTCCATTTGGGCGGCCAACAAGGTGTAGTCTCCCGTAATGATAACGGTGAGCGGTTGCTACACCTGGGCGGAGATGTTTATCGCAAGCACTAACTTCCGCCACAGCACCTGCAGAAATGTGACTTGGCGCCCACCAGCCATGGAAGCAAATCGATCACATCGCGATCAGTTGCCGCTGGAGTGGCTGCGTCCAAAACCGTCGATCAATTTGGAGCACGAACATATAGACTCGGATCATGCTCTTGTGTGTGCCGACCTACGGGTGCGTTTCGGCGGACATTGCAACTTCCCTGTGAGCGCATAGATGCTTGCCAACAGACGAACCCAGGTGTCCGGAATGCGTGTCTAGGTACGTTGGCGACCGGGCTGAGTAAACGCTCATTGAAGAGATAACGATCACTGGTCGAATATTCACTAGACGTTATAAGTAGCCGGCATGTCTTCATGTGGCAGCTCAAATTATCGACTTGATCCAGCTGGGAGCGAATAGAATGAGACTCGCAAATGTCTCCGGGGATAAACTGTGTTAGCCTAAAAAGAGACCGCGAAGCCTGGTGGTCTCACCATGCCTTGGTAAAGGACACAGCCACTGCTTTTCATAACCATCGGAAGCTTTTCTGTCTGATTCGAGAAACTGGCAGTAAGGGTCCTGGTGTTAGCGAGTTCATACACGACGAGAGTTCACAGCCGATCCACAGCTTGTCAAGGCGCTTGGGTCGTTTATCCGAACGCTGCGAAGCAGTTTAACCAACCTGAGTTATCACTTTCTTTTTCGGGAATTGATTGTTCTTCCTGGGCCGTCTGTTACCTTCGGTTAGGTTACAGTTGTATGCGTACGTGCGTACAGGTCAACTGCAGTCCGTCCTGGCCAAGGTAGGCTCAACGCGTGAGTGAACCGTTCCTGCGTGCACAGTGATGGTTCCTACATCCGAATGGCGATGGATTCTGCGGCGTCTAATATCCGCTTACAGAAATAACTTGATCGATTTTCTGGGGCCTGATAGATTACTGTGAACGGGTCAGCCAACTTGGTGGCGTGACCCGTATCCGCAAGATGCGTGGCGATGGCAGAGTTGGTGACCTTTCGACCTCCATTTCCGAGCCAGGCCGGATTATGTTCCTTCACCCTTTCGAATAAGCGTCTTGTCGTGTGACCAACGTATCATGCCCCACAGGAACAGGTAAATGTGTATACACACATTGATTTGTTGTGGACAGACAGCTTATCCTTGAGGTTTAGTCTCACCATTGGGCTGCTGGTGAACCGGAGTTGCAACCTCGCCGCTGGGAAGGTATTCTTGAATGTGGACATGAGACGGCGGGATAGATTCCCGGATACTATTTCCCCTTTGTCAGGCAGTTGTAGGAAGATAGGTTTCCGTTCCGCCGTCAGGACCATAGGTGCTTCCCTGTTTCGCGCCATATTCGCATTAATAAAATTCTCTGGGTAGCCATTCTCTTTTAGTGTCGCTCGTATTAGTTGCAACTCTTCGAAAAGAGTATCCTACGAGCAGATTCTTTCGGCCCGGTTCACGAGACTGAGGACTAAGTTTCTCTTAATCCAAAGCGGCACAAAGCTAAGAAAGTTTGTGTACTGTCCATTCCAAGTGCACTTTCGGTAAACTCTACGTTTTATCGCACCATCTTCAAGTCTTTGTAGAGCTACATCGAGAAAATGGAAAGCGCCGTTTTCTTCTACCTCGTAGGTGAATTGTATAGCCTTGTGAGCTTGTTCAAATACGCTGGTGAGCTTCTCGATGTTACCAGGGGTGTCAAGTAGGACGGAGATGTCATCTATGTAACGGTGGTATAACGTGAGGCTAATGATGACCGCCTCCAAGTTACCCTGTTCCAACATACCAATGAAAACATCAGCGAGGAATGGTCCTAGCGGGGAACCCATTGCAACTCCATCGCGCTGTCGGTATATATCCCCGTTGAATAAGAACTGAACATTAAATGTACACCTTAGCAGTAATTATTTCAGTGCCAGAGTTGGTATGCCAATATTAAGATGGTTCTCGTCGACAAAGTTGCAAATGAACTCAATCGTTTCAAATAAATGCACATTCGCAAACATTGAGGTGGCACCTAGAGAGCACATAGTTTGGTTCTTGATGTTGACATCACGCACGGCATCTACAAACGCAAAAGTGTCCTTTAGGGTATGTACCGCGACCCGTCTACGTACTGGCTCAAGAAGTTCCACCAGCCGACGAGCGATCTAGTAGTATGGAGAATTTCTCATGTCCAAAACCGGGCGAAGAGGACAGGTAGGCTTGTGGGTTTTGGGAAGGCCGTAAAGCCTTGGAATAACCGTGCCCACGAGGCGTAGATTTTCATAGACAAATTCGCTGATATAACCACCGTTCTTAAGCTTTCTGAGACAGACGCACATTTGATTTTCGATCTGCTTTGTTTTGTCTCGCTCTCCACTCGTTTTCAAGAATTTCGTATTATCTGCCAGTATTTCACCCATCTTGTTGAGATGGTCTGTTCTGTTTAGGATAACGATGCCGGCGCCTTTGTCTGGACGGCTTAGCAGAATTTGATCGTTCCTAATTAGTCGCTGCAGTGCTTGCACATGCTCATGTTTTACCAGTGTGTTGTGCGGAACTCGTGCACGCCGATAGGGAAAACAGGTATGCACCAACAGGGATTTCAACTCTTCTTCATGCGATTCAGAAGTTGGGCTCAGTTGCGAAGTCTGTGTGTAGATGTTTTCGAACTGTGCCTCTATTGCCAGTTTGTTTCGTTTCCTAGTAGGGAGACAGAACTTTGGACCCAATGATTAGACTTCAGTAGTGGTACGAACAAGCGGCAAATCAGACAGAGTTTTGACGTATTTCTCAGGTTCGGACGGGAAAGTCCTTGTGACCCACTCTTTCTTTATTGTCTTTGTGAGTGAAGTGAGTAACTTTGCTTCTTGCTTTGTGATAATGGATTTACTCGTTTCCTCCATCTCTTCCTGATCGCTTGCGGATAGGCTGGGTGAGACAGCACTTACGTACTGGCAATAGACGCACAGTTCGAAAACATCTACACACAGACTTCGCAACTGAGCCCAACTTCTGAATCGCATGAAGAAGAGTTGAAATCCCTGTTGGTGCATACCTGTTTTCCCTATCGGCGTGCACGAGTTCCGCACAACACATTGGTAAAACATGAGCATGTGCAAGCACTGCAGCGACTAATTAGGAACGATCAAATTCTGCTAAGCCGTCCAGACAAAGGCGCCGGCATCGTTATCCTAAACA